AAATCCAATAAAAATTTGCCACAATCGTAATTATTACGTGGCATTAGGTGTACAAAATTGATTGGCGCTTTGGATTCTTTTCTAGCGACGTTCAACGTAACAGTCATGCGCGACAGAAAATCCGTGCGTGGGATTGGTGACAGCGCGTGACGTATTCGTCGGAGCGCGGCGCTCGCGTGCGCGAATTGAATTGTTCTAGAACCTTCGATTGTCCGTTGCCGGTAACGACAACTTGTTTGCGTGTAACGAATTGTTTTTTAAAAAGAACAAAGAACGACGAATTTGATGATTTTAACGAGGATTAAAATCATGTTTGAGATGAAATCACGAGCTCAATTTGTGCATGCGTTCAATGACAATTAATGTCGATCGACTGAAAGAATTCTTGCTTTTCTTTCGAATTACCGATCTCAAACAATATGATTCTTCTAATTATTCTGAATATAAAAGTATTATGATAGTGATATTAAAAAATCAATAGTTTACGAGATATTTTATATTTTATTCTGGTATTTATTGACATAAAATGTTAAATAACTCATAAACTATTAATTTTTTGATAATCATATTTAATACTTTCATGAACAAAATAATGAGATGAATCAATTGATGGAAAGAAAACACATAATTGTTTTAAAAAAATACTATGAATAATTTTTTTAAATAAGCATTGTGCTTTTTTTCCACTAATTGATTTATCTTATTATTCTGTTCATAAAAGTATTAAGGTATGATTATCAAAAAATTAACCCCCATTAAATTCCATATCCCAACCGCGCATCCGTAACTTCCACTCTGATGCGAATTTGGCAATTGCGTTTTTAAATGTTAATTTTTAATGTTAATTTAATGTTAATTTTGTTATGAAAATGTAGAACAAAAATAAGTTAAAATATGTGTTTTCTATGGGAAATTTTGTGGGAAATTCAATGATGAAATTCAAATTATACGAAAGATTTACTTTGATGATGGAAAATAAGATTTTTTTAAACAGATTTTTGGAAAACGACTTTTTATTTATTTAATCATATTTGTTTTTGTATTAATACAATTTAATTGTTTATATTGGTTTTTACTTATGTAAGAGAAAATTATTAGAAATTGAATTGAAAAAAAAAAAGAAATTTTTTTATGTTAGCTTGAAGTTCGATCTTTTTTAAAAGGAAAATAAATGAAAATACTAAATATATGTATACAGAAAAATATTGTCTATTTGTTAAAAAACTTTCAGCGCGAAGTTAAGGGGAGTGGCCAAATTATCGGGACTTTGCAAATCGATATAAATCTCCGAATTTACGGAATGAAATAAAAAATCCTTTCACAGGATTAAAGTAGACACAAAATTTGGTGATATTGCAATAGACTTCACACTAAAACCAAAAGAAAGTTAAAAATTTACATTTTTTTCAAATCGTAAAGCTGTCACCTGATGCAATTGTTTCCTTAATACAAAAGTTTCATAGCTCGTATGGACCAAACGGCAGCGCAGCATTAAGCGTGTTACGTATATAAACAATAATAAACAATATTAAGTTTACGAAACTAAGATTAAAAGCTTAAAAAGAAAGATTTATATTGATTCGCAAATGATGTGTATACGAATGCTGAGCGAAATATGTTACTATTACCGAATTTGAAATTTAAAAAAGTATTATCGATCTCGATCAAGTTCAGCCATTCATTGTTCCAGCATCTCTTTAAGAGTTAAGAGTAAATTAATGGCAAAAAGATGATCTAATCTATTATTGTTGCACATCGTATGCATAAACCAGAGCAATGTTCATCACAAATGTGCTTCAAATAATTCGGATACTTTAACCGCGTACATCCACTATCTGCCTTGTAAATATGTGTATTATATCGTACTTTTATATTCTCTTTTAAAGGAGTTAATACTTCTCTAACTGATACGTCAATTTTCAAAATTTTAATAATTTTAAATATAATGTATATCGTCTTGTTTGAGGGACTGCAGTATTGCTTCCAAATTTTGCAGATTATATCTACCTTGTTCTGCCATGTGGCTGAAAAATTTTTAGATTTTGAACGAAGAGATTGAACGAACTTATCTAAATGAAGTTCAATCCTAATTATGCCCCTAATTTTGTCCGGATGGTTATAACTATGTAATAGGGCGCCTGCGCATGCTTCGACAACAGTTTTCAAAGTATCGCCAAAAACCAAAGCGTTTGCCCATCTTGCGCACTATTCCGTGGACCTAGTCCTTGCGCCATCTCTTCTCAGGGCGTATGCACTTCCTAAAATTCACAAACCAAATTGCCCTTTTAGGATCATTGTTTCGTCCATTGATAATCCGTTACATGTTTCGGCTTCCTTTTTTACATAATATTTTATACGATTCTTTACCGAAAGCTAAGAGTCATATTAAAGTTTTCAACTGGTTAATAAACTTAAAAGAATTTATTTCAAAGAAAATTACAAATTAATTTCTCTAGACGTTGTGTCACTATTCACAAATATATCAATGGACTTAGCAGTGAACTGTATCAATGATAATTGGACTTACATTTAAAAAAAATATGCACTTCCAAAAACAGAATTTCTGACTTAGGTTTGTTTTAGATTCGACTTTTTTTTGTATTTGGCAACACTATTTATAAACAAAATTTTGGTACGCCCTTGGGTTCTCCTCTGTCTCCCATCGTTGCGGACTTGGTAATGCAAAAATTGGTAAGGTCCGCTTTGATGTTGTTCGAGGATATTGTACTTTATTATTATCGATATGTCGACGACTTATGCGCGACGGTTTCGGTGTCTAAGATGGATTGTTTTTTCAGCGCGTTCAATTCGTTCCATCCTCGTTTACAATTTACCAAAATTGGAGATAATTTATTAAATTTTCTAGATATTTCCATCTATTAAAAATAATCATTTGATTTCCGACTGATATCATCCACCCACATTTTCAGATTTTTAAATATTTTTCCAACCATCCGAGGTCTCAAAAGAAAGGCATAATTTTTAATTTAGTGGACAAAGTTTTTTTGTTGTCGGATCCTATTTTTCATGCAAAAAACATTACTCTTATTATAAACATTTTGATAGAAAACGATTTCCCGCTTAAGTTCATTTTTGATACCATTAATAATAGAATCAAGGATATCACTCGAAAAAAGTTGTTTAGAACCAAACAACTTAGAGAATAAAAATCAGTTAATCTATCTTGATAGTACCCTATGTACCGATTTTAACAGAAAAATTTAAACAATTCAATAGAAATGATATCAAGGCCTCTTATTATAGTACAAACAAATTAAAGAAATTTATCAAAGTATATAAAGACCCTTTGGACTTTGTCTCAAAGTCTAATGTTGTTTATAAAATAAACTCTAATGATGCATTCTTGAGACTTACACGGCTGCTTCTTTCTATATAAATGTTGTGTGTTTTGCGGGTTTTCTCCGTGTCTAAATCCATTCTTGGAATGCCAACGTTTCGTGAGCCTTGCAATCCACTTCATCAAAGCGAGGAGCAGCCTGATACTGAGCTGTTCCTCCAGGCCCTTCCTTTATATATATTACGCAGCTTGTTGAAGTGGGATAAGTGGGAAGAGACGGGGGAGAAGAAGTGGTGGAAGTTGGTTGGTCTTCAATAATCGGGAAAATGGTCTTTCATATTAATTGAGATTACAAATTAGTTCGGTCCGTTTTTTTGTATTCAAAAATGCATTTATTTCAAAACAAAATGAACAGATTAAAGTATTGTCCATCGCTGGCTACTTTTCCCATCTCTCAGTCAATTTTCAAATTCCATCTCGAAAAAATGACTCGTCTTTGGAGGCGATCCAATTTTGGAGAAGTGAACCGGTGACTTGCCAAATCGTGCTGCATCCTTCGAAACAACCAGTAATCAGAAGGAGCAATGTCCGGAGAATACGGCGGATGCGGTAAAATATCCCATTTTTCCAAATATTTTTTTACTTTTGTGACATGAGGCCGAGCGTTGTCATGAAGAAAAATAACTTTATCATGTCTTTGCTCGTATTCTG